CAAGGGGAGAGAGGAAGTCCTCCAAAGCGTGTTTTCCTTCTCTGACTATCAGGAAAAGGAAATCTCTCCAGCATTACTTTGCTGCAAAGAGGAGGCACAGGTAAGTTTGTGTGGAGGGATGCCTAGAGATATTAACAGGTTTTTAAAAATGTCCATAGGGGTTCTGTGCCCCTAACCTCTGCAAATGTCAAGGTCTTACTATAACTGATCCAACTTACTGTTGTGTATCTGTGCACTACAGTAACCAAAAGAGCTACAGATTTGTTTTTTAAAGTATCACAGCATTAATATAAAAGACCTGGGTAAATTAAAAGCTCTTTGCCATGATGCCAAAAAGTCAAAGGACAGAGTCAGGAGCATCTTGCACAGAAGGAGTACAGTTCCGTATAAGAAGAATCACCACTGAGAAGGTCCTTTCACCATAAAGCAAAGACATCTAAAGCTCAACCTCTGAAGTTATCTCTATATTCAAGCAGAGTTCCCCTGGAACTAGGTAGTCCATTAGATTCCAGGCCCCAATTCCTTTCTAGATCTTTGCATTGTGCTCGGAAATGGACTGGTAGTCTAGGAAGTTGTTCAAGAACTGATGGGATGTGTTCCAGTGATGGTAAACAGTCAAGGAACCATTTTCTTGACCAACTGATGTTTCCAAGTGATTGGTCTTTAAGGACAGCCCTAAGTACAGTGCAGTGCAATAGACTCATCTGGATGTGGCCCAAACATGAACAGTGACCTATCTCTCTGTGCAGATGGGTTATAGAAAGCATGCCAGAAGTAACTTTGTGCCACCAAAGCCTCTTAGGTCTCCAAAGACAGGGCAAAAGTGGCACATGTGGTCCTTTCAGCTTGGCCCCCCACATGTGGTTTGGGGCTAATTTCATGCAGCCTCCAGTGTTATCTGGGGTACACATGCAGAAGGTAGAGAAGTGATAGGATGGCACCATAGTCAGAATAACCAGAGGACTTAAAGTTCTGCAGCCCCCAATCTACCTTCTGTGGGGCCCTACTAGAGAACTGAGATTCCCAGTTTGCTTTCCAAGCAAACCTGTTTAGCAGTGATAACAGAAGGTTTAGAAGGTCCAACCTGGCCTTGGGTACCTGATCTTCTGAGCTGTGCCCAGGGTCTTTAGAGTTGTCCCAACTTTCAACATCTACACTAATTCAAGATTGCTTCTTTCCTCTGAATTCAGTAGTCCTACAGTTGTCCCTTGGAAGGCTAACTGAGCACATGGGGAAAAGGCCTTTTGAATCTGAGGACAGACTGCTACTTTTCTTTTTGCTTGTTCTTGGGACTAGCCCTGGACATGAATACAGAGGCCTGTGGAGAGGGAAAAGTAGCTGAGCTAGTGCAGGAAATTATATGACAGGGAAGAAACTGGGGCTGCAGAGGAAAGGGAAGCATGTACAGGGTTGCATCCAACTTATTGTGTTCTTATTATGATCCTAAACATGCTTACTCAAAAGTAAGTTGTCCTGAGTTCAATGGATTTACTTCTAAGTAAGTGAATGTATAACTGAGTCTTACTACTTTATAAATGTAAATAAACTCCTTTGAAAATAACCTCCTTACAGGTTTGCAACCTGTCTTATTCACTCTGAAATTAATACCAATATTTAGATTTGGAAAGAAACATGAGGATTGAAAGCTTGGATATTAAAAGAAAAGCAAAGATAGCTGTGCTGGTCCATGAGGGGGAAAAAACCAAAATTAACAGTTGGGCAATACCTTCGTTAGGAACTTTGGTTGGTCATAGTAACAAGTATGCAGTTATGCATTTTGATATTTTAAGATAATGTATGTATTATTGTATGATAATGAGGCTGCTAGAAATGTAATATTGCCAACTTTGTGGATGTTAGGATTTCAAGAAGTCAGAACCCAGGTACTGAAGTGGACAAACAATTGATCAAATGAATGCACTGTGCAGGCCTAGGAATAATGAAAAGGGTATTTGAAATGAGAAGAGCCACCTTCAAGGGGCAGCTTTCTGTACCTCCTCACCTAGTTTAAGAGCAGCCATATGACGCATCTAGCCCTGCAGTCTCTGGTGCTGCTGCACTTGCTGGAAGTAGAATGGCTACTTCTGAGCCATTCCTTGCTTGGGGGAGAAGAGGAATGGCTCATAAGTAAATCCCCCTGTATTTAATACCTATCAGCAGGGGCTTCTACAGCTGACAACACATTCCCACATTCTCTCTTATCAATGTGCATATTCAGTTTTCCATTAACTGGAAAATTTGAAACCTCGTTCAAATCATGTACATAGAAATGGGCTGGAAGCATTAAAGCCACTTAGAAGAAAATCCTATTGGAATTAGTGGAAATGTTTATAAATAAACATGGGTATGTTTGGGGTGTAAAACAGTGGATTCCTAAATCAATTAACTATGTTTATGGCTTGTCTTTTAGGATAAAACCCTGCCAGGGCAGCATACAGGAATGAATAAATGAAGCATATCAAGCAAACATAAAAACAAAACCAGTAAATCAGCAGTTAAAACATAATGCACAATGAAAAGCAGAGAGCAGTGATTTTTTTAAAAAATCTACTTAGATTTTTCCAGTAAAAGAAGGCATTCCAAAGACTGGGGCCACCCCTGAAAAGATCATGGCATTGACGGTTTGTAGTTGCTGGCCAGTCGGCAAGGAAGCTGATTTAGGGCCTCATAGATTGGTAGGAATTATCTATGAGGAAGTCTCACTGAACTCAAGGGGATTTACATCTGAGTAGATATGTAGATGATTGTAAGCTAACCTGGTTCTGTAAACCTCCACAATCAAAATTATCAGTTGATACATCTAAGTGTTTTTAACCCACTGTAGATCTCAGTTGATATTATATTTCTCTTAATTTATTAATAACATTTGGAGAACATTTTCGCACCAAGGTCGGCAAGGCAGCCTGCAGCAATTCCAATAAAAATACATTAAGAAACAAGGAGTAATCAAACCAACACTGAAACATTAAAGCTGCTATAAAATGGTTTCGAGGCGTATTCTCCTCAATTCGTACACTTCTAGGTAGTTTAAAGGGCATTTATGTTTACAGGCCTATTAACAAGTTTCTTTAACAAAGTACTAGAGATGCTGCAAAAGACAATGTTTGTTTTCAGAAGTAGCTCCCCCGGACCACCTTCTCCCCACCCCCACTCTCTTTTCTTTTTCTTCCTTTCCCTTTCCTGGTAGAGTCCTAAGAAATTGCTTAACATCGTGGAGAGGAAACGAGAAGACTTTGAAATGAATTCCCACTTTCATAATAAATCAAATTTCGCCCTCCCGCCGCGCCCCGAACTGAACGTGGGTCGCGGGCCCCGAAAGCAGGCAGTCCCAAATTCCTCCAGTCTAGGAGGCAGGCGTGGGACTAGAGCCGCTCGGCGGTGCCCGGATAGTCCGGAGTCCGGATTCAGGACTGAGAGGCCCTCTAGTGCTAACGACGCAGAGACGTTGCCCCGAGGACAAAAGCCTCGTCTGGCTGCGTGTCTAACCGGCCATTCTGCTAGACCGTCGAAAGTGCCAGAGAGAGCCCGATTTGCCCAAGGGGCCGCCGACGGCTGGGCTGCCTGCAGCGCGTCCCGTCGGACTCAGGCACGGACCCTGGCGGGCGATCCAGCGCGACGGCTCGCTTCCGAGCCCCGCCTTGCCGGCGCCATCCTCCCTGGGCCGCGGGGGAGCGGGAGGGGGCCTCGCCTCCCCGCGCCCCCTCTTGAACCCGCTGGGCCGGCGGACCGGACCTCGGCGAAGGAGACGAACTGGAGGGCACCGACGGCGCGGGCATCGGTCGTGGGCCAGTCGCAGGAGCCGGCCGGTGCCGAGCGCCGACGCCACCTAGCACCGACGCCGCCACGCCGCAGCTTCGCCCACGCTGCCAGGCATCCCCAGATAAAAGCAGGCAGGCAGGCAGGCAGGCCGGCTTTCTCATAAGTAGCTTCGCCGTGCCTGTCTTCCTATCCCATCCCATCCCATCCCATCCCATCCCATCCCATCCCATCCCATCCCATCCCATCCCACGTGTAACTGATGTTTTGGTCGTGATCCAGCCCTCTTCTGAAGTTTTCAGGCTTTCCTTTCATCAGCGTTACATCCTTAATGTTCTGTATTTCTAGCGCCTGACTTTTCACATACCGTACACTGGATCTGCAGCGTTTCTTTTCGCTTTCGCAGAGCAGTACGAACCATGCTTACTCAGAAGTCAGCCCCGTCGAACGTAGTGGGGCTTCCTTAAGAATACGCACTTTCCGGATTGCGCTTCGCTCCTCTGCTTTTGCGCCTTTGCAGCCGCGTCTTCCTTTTCCTACGCAGCCTCATCTGTATAAATGTATCTTCTCATCTATATTTATATTTACATGGGACCCTTTGTTTGTATGCTGCCGTGCCTGTCATTAAATTGACGAATGAAAGTTCGTGAAACCACTCCCTATAGCCTGCAGCAGACGTCAATATAGAGTGAAGTGTTCTAGTCCGTGAAGTTACTTTTAAGAGCGATTATTGCTCATGGAATACTTTTTAGGATCCCTCAATATGATAAACTGTTGAAAGAAGGTGGCAGAAAAAAGAATGAAATTCCTCATTCAGATTTTCTCAATGGGACTCTCATATATAATTCAGAGAGTGTGTGTTGTGTATTCAGAAGGACAGTCATGTAGTCCTAAAACAACGCTTCTGAGAGGTACTGTGTGGATTTAAAAAGTTGTTAAATGTGCTAATTCTTCACATTTCTGTTAAAAGGTCGATGTCTATCGCTTAGACGTTGCAGTAATAAATGAGTAATATAACACGCGTGGTTATCTTCGCAGGATGGTTCTGAACGCCTTCTCCATCCTCATCTCAGCGGGAGCGCAGCAGAAGGAGAAACGGAAGTGCTTTCAGACGTGCACAGGGCACTCTCAGTTATGCGGAGAGAAGCGTTAGACACGCAGCTTCGTAGGCGGAAGAGGGAGCGGCCCGTGAGGCGCGAGCGGCTGCGGTGGTGTGAATGCGCCGTCACGTTAACGGGGGCGCGATGAGACCGCCCGCCCGCCCGCCGCGGGAGCGTCCTGCGGCGATGCTGGCGAGGACCGTGCGCACCGCGCTTCCCCCGCGCACCGCCACCCTTGCGGCTGCGGGATCATGGTCATCGTCCGCGATGGAGAACCAAGGACAGGTCGCCAATCAAGTGTTTTTGTAACGGTGTCATAAATCGGGAAAAGGAGGAAGTGTGGAAAAGGAAAGTTTTCAAAAGTCAAGTCAGGTTAGGCTGTTCCTTCTGCCCCTTTCAGACTTTTTCTCGGGCCAGGCATAGACGGAATGGCAAGGATCAGATCGCGCTACGGGTCGGGCGAGGCGGGCTCCTGTTGCTGAGAGCTGTTGGCGAGCCAGGCGCCGAGGACTCCCGCGCAGGACCAGAAAGGGACGCCCCTCTTGCTCTCATGAGAATATAGGAATGTAAGAGAGTCACGCTGGACGGGAGTGAAGGGCTGCCTAGTCCAGCATTCGGTTTGCACAGGTGCCCACCAGCTTCCCGTGCAAAATCCACAAGCAGGACAGGAGAGCAAGAGCTCCCTTCAGGCCAAGTCCCCAGCAACAAAGGCAGGCAGAGGGACACCAGGAGTAGCAGCCCCTGATGACACCTTGTCCACTGAATCTGCCTAGTCTCGTTTTAAAGCGACATATTATAGTAGGAAATTCTATCGCGTGCCGTGCGAAGAAACACTTCCTTTTATCTACCCTGAATCTTCAGCTGCATGGGATTGCCCCAGGTTCCAATATTAGGAAAGGGGAGAGAAATGTCCCTCCAATTGACTTTCTCCATCTTCCGCGTAATTTTGCACACCTCTCTCTTGCCTCCCCTTACCTCTTTTCTAAGCTAAACAATCTCAGATGGGGTCTCACTCAGGTCCCATCAGCTTATACCGGAAGCTGCAATTTAATGTAGCTGGTAGTCAGAAATATCCTCCCTCTCATTAGAGGAGTCCTACCTTGCTGTCATGGATGGCAAACAAACCTGTCTACTGTGTGTATGTTTATGAAATATCATGAGTGGAAAAATGGGGGCTGAGAAGTAGTCACACAAAATACTCGATCCACAATATTAGATGGTTAGCATCTGATGCTATTTCTGCTTAGAGTAGACCCAGAACTAATGGGATTCAGGTTAGACTAATACAGGTTACAACCCCTTGAATCCTGGCTAACCTGTGCTCTTTCCTATTCACATTTCTTGAAGGGGAAAAAAACCCTGCAATTGTCTACTCATTTACCTGGGAGCAAGCTCCATTGAACATAGTGGGTCTTACTTCTAAGTAGAATGTATAGGATTGCACCATTCAAGTTCCCATTCCACCCCTTGCAGAATGCTCTCTTTCATTCCTATACCAAGAGTAGGTTAAAGTGTTATTTTACAGAGTGCAGAATCAACTCTAAGCAAATTTGCCTGGATGCTTAAAATTCACAGAGTGTGTGAATTCTTGCACCGGTCAGTTTTCTGGTCCCTCATTTCACATGCCCTCTTTGGGACTTACTTCTTCCCAGACTTAAATAGGATCCACAACCACAGTTCTATTCAGTGAAATGCGGTGCCCAAGGCAGTTCTGTGCTTGAAGCCAGATTAACAATAGATGTATCCAGATTCAGTCAATGTAGCTTCTCCAGTAAAGCAAGCAAGGAGTTTTGGACCGCTGAGCTGAATTGGGTGCAAATGGATCCTTGCCTGATGTCTGGGGGAAAGACCTTTAATATGTGAGTTAGCAGGAAAAATGATAGTACCAAGGCACATGTGCAGAGTATTACCGTATTTTTCGCTCTATAAGATGCACCTGACCATAAGATGCACCTAGTTTTTAGAGGAGGAAAACAAGAAAAAAATATTCTGAATCAAATGGTTTACTAAACTATTTAATAAACTATAACAGAATACAGTAATACCGTATTTCACCCTTGTAAAGTGAACAGCAGTCAACAGTTTCATTAAGAACCATCATCACTGTCATAACAAAAGAGACTTTAAAGTTTGAATACTCTTCTAGTTTTCATTGAACCCATAGAACTCATCATCACTAGAGTCAGAATTTATGAAGCTCTGTTGCTCACGATCACCAACATCACTTTCTTAGTCAGTAGTGGAATTATTGAAGGAATCCACAATCTACACCAGTTATACAAGAGCTGCTGCAGACAATTCAATAACAAATCTAAAAAAGCCAGTAATGTCCACGCTGCCCTACTAGTAAATAATAGAAAAAAACTTCTGACAAAAAATGAGATATTATATGGTAAATCAAACACACAGCGGACTAAGTAGCCTTTGAAGAATAAACTTCATACATGAAGGTAATGCTGTTCAAATACCCACTGATCCTAAAAAAAAATGTGTCTGATCAACTAACAGATAACTGATCCATGGAAAGCTTCCTGATAATCACAGGCACATTCCCCATCACTTCCCCATGGGCTTCATTAAAAGACGGGTTGCCATTTGAAAACACACACCGACCTGTGATTTGATTAACAGCTCTCACCTGTGCCGGAGGAGGGGGGCGGAGCAGGGCGTGCTGAGCATGTGCCAGCCATGTGGTGCCATGTGGTGCAGGCGGCTGGCAGAGAGCCGGCGATGGTCTTCCAGGCGGCGTGGCGGCGGCAGCGGCAGGTCTTCCCGGGCGGTGGGGGTGAGCAGTCCGTCTCTCCGTGCTCTCCGTGCGGCCGGCGGGTTAAAGGCCGTGGCTCCTCCTCCTCCGCAAGCCTCCCCCTGAGCGGCACAGCTCTCACCTGCGCCGGAGGCGGGGGGCGGAGCAGGGTGCCCCGAGTGCGTGCCAGCCAGGTGGTGCCACGTGGTGCAGGCGGCCGGCAGCGTCCCAGGTGTCGGGCACACACACATTCGCTCTATAAGACGCACAGACATTTCCCCTTACTTTTGTGGGGGGGAAAAGTGCATCTTATAGAGTGAAAAATATGGTAATCTCCAGGTACCCTCTCCTTTAGGATGAGAAAAAAGGGCTTCTATAAGAGAATAAGTACCTTCTAATCAAGCTTGAGACAGAACCCCCTTTTTTACAAACAGTTGTGTGGATGAACAGTTCTGGAAATACTAAGCCAGAAATGAATCAGTGAAGTTCGACTTGATGTGTGAGTGGGTGCTTGCATATGTGAATGTGAATGTGCCAAATTCCATTTAAGACCCTTGCAAGCCAGTTCATCACACAGGTTGGCAGCATCAACAGGTGATGTTCTTGTGTGCCAATATGAAAGGACTATAAGAGCAGCCTTCCCCAACCTGGTGCCTTCAGATATTTTGAACTTCAGTTCCCATCAGCACTAGGTAGCCTATCCCATGATCAGGAAAACAGGGAGGTGTAGTACCTCTGGCTGGAGAGGTTTATTATCCCAGAGTTTTTAGATGATGGTGATGAGGAGGAGGACGACGACATTGTATTGCAGTAATTGTTACTGTCATGTGCTTTAGGTTATAGCTGACTTATGGCAGCCTTATGAATAGATGTCTTCCAAAATGTCATGTCCATGACACATCTGCTCAGCTCTCATAAACTCAAGGCTGTGGCATCCTTCATGGAGTCAATCCATGTCCTTGTGCTTCTTCGGTCTTCAACCTTCCCTAGCGTGAGAATGCATTTTGCAGTGAGTTCTGCCTTCACATGATGTGCCCGAAGTATTACAGCTTCAGTTTTGTCATTTTTGCTTTCAGGGAAAGTTTTGGCTTGATTTTATCTTGGACCCTTTTGTTCATCTTTCTGATAGCCTGGGGTATTTGCAAAGCTCTCTTCCCATCATGTTTCAATTGCATCGATGTCACCCCTACAGGTATATATCAATGTGTAAGCCACCCTGGTCAAAGTTGCTTGAAGGTTGTGATTAAAGAAATAAATTGATTCAACCTGAAATGTGAATGTAGTCCCATGTTTAATTGCAAGTTATTGGGAGCCGACTAATGCAGCAGAGCTGGTGTGTCCCATTTTCAAAAAAGTGAAATAATGCACATTACAATTGAGCCACCCCACCCTAACACACACACACACACACACTTCATGATAGATTGCCTCAGCCAAGTTCACACTTACTTGTAAGAGCTTTTCAACATGTGGAATTTACTGCTTTTCAACATGTGGATTTTACTGCATATTGATGTCTCCTTACTCAAAGTTGTTTACAAGTTCCATAGATGATAAGGAGACTGTCCAATTTTGCTTCTGATTTTAAAGGCTCTTTCTTATTTTTGTTGTTGTCTTTTTTTAAAGCAGGGAAAATATGGTATTATTTCTGAAAGTAAAGCCGTTATTTTGTTATAAACAAAGTCATTCTACTATGGCAGAGCTCCACCTAGAGCACGGGGCCGCTGGAAGTAGAGTCTGGGTGAGGCTGGGCCGCATCAAGTATTCCACCACCGCGGTGGTGGTGGGCCGCTCATCCCGCAGCCGGCCCGGGTGCCACTGGCGCTTTGAAGGCAGCAGGGCCCCTCCCCATGCCGTGCCCGTCCCAGCAATTGGCCCGCGGGCCGCAAGTTTGAGACCCCTAACCTAGAGGGTATGTTGTGGAAAGGAGGAGAGGAAAAAATGTAGAGCTCTGAACTCAGTTATGCAACAAAACTGAAAGTAGATACAGTCCCATTTAGGAAGCTCTGAAACTACTGAGCAAATTAAGTGCCCAGAGAACTCAAGTCAAGAAGGCAGATGCATCTGGGAATCAGCACTAAGCAATCCTTTTTCCCTGACTCAAATTATAGGAGCATATGTAGGGTAGAGGCTTCCTGAAATTCTCTAGCCCCTTCCCTTAATGTCCACCAATTTTAGCTTTAAAAACTGTTCTCTAGCTTTCTAGACCAGCAACAAAGAGAGCCCTCAGAAAATGCTTCAGATCTAGAGCACTGTGGTCATCTTTGCCATCAGTATTTTCTATACACTTCCAAAGACATTCCAAATATCCCTAATAAATGCCAGGTAGGACAGAAGAGCAAATGCTGTCACTTGCACTACTGGTACAAGTAGCAACTTGTAGTAATAACCAGTGGTACTAGTTACAAGTGCTAGTTACAAGGTGCATGTGGTAACTTGTAGCATTACTACTAATAAGTAGCACTAATATTATCGCCAGGTTTGGCAAAGGCTGATACAGGAACATGAAAGAAGGGTCCTGTAGGCAAAATGAAAAGTATAATTTCATGTACGCACTGTAGG